AGGTGGAGATGTCAAGTAGGCACTCTTGTATACAAGTCTGTATACAAGTATACAGTATACAAGTATATACTGTATACTCTAAGTATACAGACTTAAGAGTGCATTCTAACTTGGAGATAAAACTTTGGTAGTTGTTAACGTGAAGTTGTTGGTTTACAGATTTTATTTAAAATCAAGAGACCAGATGAAATACTTAGGAAATAAGATCAATAAGGAAGAATGGAGGTTTGAGATTAGGTTCCAACTTTTAGTAGTTAGGAAGAAGATGAGGAACTAGCAAAAAGATTGAGAAAGAATTTTTAATAGGTGAAAGGAAACCCAGAGGATGCAGCAGTGCCCTGGAAGCCAAGAGGAATAAGTATTTGAATGAGGAATAATCAGCAATATAAAATGCTGCCTAAGGGTCAAAGAACTGGAAGACTGAGAAATGATTCACTAGAGTTAGCAACATGAAGGCCAGTGTTAAATCTGAAAGGAGTGCTTCAGTGGGGTAGGGTAAACGGGCTGAATTAGTATGGAATCAAGGCCTCATTAGTGTGTAAAGAAATTGGACACAGTGTGTTATATAATTGTAAGAGGAAAAAAAGATTTAGAGGGGAAATGAAGAACCAAAAGATTCTTAGTATACAATAGCCTAAATTTTTACCTCAAAGTATGCTGTCTCCAGTGCAATGCATCACATACACAGATAAGGGTTAAGTCATTAGCCACTGAATTAGAAATCAGTCTTCTATAAGTTTAATAAGTTATGGAGGAAAATGTGAGGATTCTTGGTTCAGAAAGGAGAAACTATCCTTTCTTTGTCTGCTATAATTCTGAACTCTTTAGGACTGCTACATACCTAAAACAGAGTATCCTTAAATTTCAGAGGAGCAGCAATAGAATTTGAAAACATGATCTACAAGAATATACTTTTAATCCTAGATAGGTATAATCTCTCCAATTACCTCTTTCATCTGGGACCCTGATTAATCTTAAAAATTCACATGCAAAAAAATGAAGATAGATTCTATTTACAAAAAAATTCAAGATGGTTTGAAGAGTTACCTGTAGGAATTAAAACTACATACTCTTAGAAGAACACAGAGAAAATGGATATTACCTCGATTTAATAATGGATTCTTACATATGACACTCAAAACATAAGCAATAACAACAAAAAATTAGAAATAAAAAAACTGTGCACAATATCAAGAAAGTAAAAAAGCAGCTCATAGGAGAAAGTATTTGCAAATCACACATGTGATAAAAAATATATACAATCAACTCTTAAAACTTAACAACAGAAAGACATGGTATCTTCCCTGAAGAGTTAAAGATATACTACAGAGACACATGCATACGTATGTTTATAGCAGCACAGTTCAGCTAAATTCTGGAAGTGGCCTATATTTCCATTATAAATAAATGGAGAAAGAAAATGTAGTATTTATACACAATGGTATACTTCTCTGGCATAAAAAAGATAAATAAGTCATTTGTAGGAAAGTGGATGCACGTTGAGACCATAACGTTAAGTGAAATAAACTAGACACATAAGCTCAAATACTGCATGGTTCCTCTTATATGAGAAACCCCAAAAAACCAAACAAAAGAGATAGATCTTTTTCAGATGGGAAGGGGATCAAGAGACAGAGGTGGGGAAAGAAAGGAGTAAGAAAAGGATGAGAAAAAGAATTGAGATGTGTTACATACACATACTAACTCCTTACAAGGAATATAATAATTATGTAATGCAAACATACTAATAAAAATTAAAACAAAAATGAATATGACAGTTAAGTTTGATTGTGTTAAGCAGATTGGCTTGGGAACCACTGAGAAGACTGGTGGTGTGTCTGGGCGGTCATGAAGTGTGATTTTCACTACTCTATCTCATCCCTGTCCCCTTCCTCTCTGACACTGTCCTTCTGCTCTGCTTCCTAGCCACCGTGAATTAAGCATGACTACTCTGCCACACCCTTCTGCGATAGTATTTCTGCCTTAGAGCTAGCCAACCACAGACTCAATCTCCTGAAAGTGTGAGCAAAATTAAACGTCTCCTCCTGTAAGTTGTGGGTATTAGGTATCATGTTCCAGCAAATGGGAAAGCTGATTAATACAACAGGCAATGGACTGAAATAGACATTTCTCTAAAGAAGATACTAAAATGACTGACAAACACATGAAAATATGCTCAACATTATTAAGTTATTAGAGAAATAAAAATTAGAACCACAATGGAATGCTACTTCATTCCCACTAGGCTATATGGCCAAACCAAAAATCCAGAAAATAAAGAGCTGGTGAGGATGTGGAGAAACTAGAATTCTTAAATACTGCTAGCAGAAATGTAAAATGGTACAGTTGCTATTGAAAAAGTTTGGTGATTCCTCAAAAACTTAAACACAGAATTACCATATGACCGTGCACTTCTACTTCTAGTTTTATACACAAAATAACTGAGAACAAGTATTTAAGCAAAAACCTATGCACAAATACTCTTAGCAAAAAGGTACATATAACCCAAATGTCCATCAACTGAGAATAAACAAAATGTGGCACTTACCCACACACAGGAATACTATTCAAAGGAATGAAGTACTGATACATGCTACAAAATGAATGCACCTAGTAAACATTATGCAGAATGAAAGAAGCCTGAGTCAAAAAGGTTATACACATTATACGACTGTTTACAAGATATGTTTAGCAAAGGCAATTCCATAGAGATAGAAAGCAAACTGGTGGTTTCCAGCGGGTAGGGGAAAAAAGAGTGACTGTGTAAATGGTGTAGGGTTTTCATGGGGGGAGTGATAAAAATGTCCAAGGAGTAGGCAATGGGGATGACTGTAAAACACTGTGAATATATTGAAAGTCACTGGTCAAAATGACTTTTAATTTCATCTGAAATAAAAAATAAGAGAAAAAGAAGAAAAACAAGTCACACAGCTCTCACTCAATAAACCTATGTCTTGCATCCAAGAACTTACTTCAAACCCTCCGCCCAGTCATTCTGTCTCCATAAACCAAAGGAACTGTGAAGCACTGGCAATGGACTTTTCTCTTCATCTACTGTGAGGAGCCGCTGAGCCTCTATTGAGCTAGAGGTCAGCAAACTCTTTGGGACTAAAACAAAGCCAGTCCCAAAACACAGAATGCCACAGGCAGACTATGTAAACAGGCTGACTTCTAGCTTAGTTACATGTCAACAGGTGTCTGGCCTTGGTGCTCTTTCCTGTTACTACAGCACACATAGCTCTAAAAATGTTTTGCTTTTCACGGTCTCGGAAAAACACTAAAACCTGGCTCTTCTGATCCCATCATGTGCTTTCCCCTTTTCTTTATGCTAATGATGCTGGGGTTGGGACATTGTCATTGCTTCTCCATCAGAGGGCTATGTCCCACCCAGTCCCAGCTTTTCTTTTATTATGTGTCTTGTCTTTTCTTAAGCTCCTGTTGGCCCGTCTCAGGACCCCGCTGGTTGTGCAGGATGCAGCAATCTACCAACACTCTGGGACAGTATCTAACCACAGTACCTATGATAACAGAATTTCCACTGCTGCCTAAGCACATAGAAGCTTCCAAACAAAAACTTTTTCTTATAATGGGTTGCATCTTAGACTACAAACCATCTTGGTGCAGGGTCTGCTACTCATGTCACAAAGTCATCTTTTATATAGAAGTTAATCAGCATCCACCTAACCAATAAACCAATGACAGCTGTGACTGCTAGTCCCTCACAAGATACTCTTGTATCCTGCAAAAAAGTATACTAATAGGGTTTACGTTTTCAACAAACATCATTCTCCATTAGCATTGTAACTCTGTGTTTTTTTTTTTTTTAGCTCTGCTGGTAGACCACAACTCTTAGAAACATGAAATATAAAACTGACCATTAAAGCTTCTTCTTTGACGTTACCAATGAGGCAGCAGTGGCTCTGAGACAAACATGTTATGGCTGTTGATATGATAGCCTATTCTAGATAACTACTCTTTGAGTCTTTATGGTAACAAAATTTTTTAACCTCCTAGGAACCAAAGTTTGTTCAATGCTCTCTTCTCTCTGAGCTTAATGAGGGTCTACGCTTTCAATTTATATCCATACTCTTCAAAGATTTCAAAGTATGAGAAATGTTTCATGCATATAACTAGAAAAATAAAACTATAATATCAAGTTAATGAAAGAAACATGGCTGCAAAAACTCTCCTGGGAATCTAACAGTTAGACACACATTCTCTAATACAGCCAAGTGCTCCATTTCAACATGCCAACAATCTGGTCTTTGTTCATCAGTTCAATGGAAGGATGATGTCAGGGTGACTAGAGCCCAGAGCACTATTGGTCTTTAGGATCTCTATGGCTTTCCAGATAAGCAAGAGACTTAGAATCTAATCACTAATATTTGAGTCTGCCTTTCAGAAGTCTTGAGGGTCCTAGAAAAATATTTCCGCAGTAAAAAGCAAAAAATTTCCAAAACAAATACAAGCAATACCCTTCTAATATGGAGTAAAGGGGTAATCAGGCACCACTGCACTACTACCTTGAAAAGTCAAAAGCATTCAGGTAACTAACAGACTGAGCATCTACCATATAAACCTAAAAGACACCAATCTCTCCCTTACCATTCTACCTTTATGGGCAAACTTCCCAAAAACTTTTGAACTGGGAGGGCAGGGTATAGCTCCATGGCAGAGCACTTATTTAGCATGTGGGAGGCCCCATGTTCAATCCCCTGCTCCAGACAAAGGGAAGGAAGATTTTTCAAACATTCCCTATTCCCAGTTCCTTATACACAAGAAATGAGATGAGAAAAGATTGAAGAATCTTATGCTCACTTTAATCTGGTTTCTCCCTCTTCCAATTTAGAGTAGTTCTTGCTGAGATTGAAGATCACATTTTGCTAAATTCAACAGATTATTTTTAATCTATGTCTTTACAAGATGACTCTTTTCTTTCAGAAGTACTCTCTTTCCTTACTTTTTATGTCACATTTTAAATTAGAATTAGATTCAAGTACCTCATCCCCTTCCTGGGTAGCTTCTTCCTAACAAACCAGGTCCAAGTCCTCTTTTGCTTTTTCTGTTCAATTTTTGTCAGTGGTTCTCACTCCCATTGCTCAGCAGAATCACCTGAGGAATGTTTAAAAATCCAAGACTGTAATTCAGGCCAAGGAAATAAAAATACAACTTTTCTTAGATGGACTACAGTATTCATATTTTTCAATTATTCAGTGACTACAATGTGTAACCAAAATCATTATCCTATAGTCTCCCTTCAGTCACACATTCAAAAGACTATGTAATCAAAGTAGTACATGAGCAAAACAGGCCAGGTATATCTTAGAGAGTGGTAGGCTCTGTGAGGATCCAGAAAACAGCTACAGAAAGATCAGCTGTGACTTGGCTTTAATTGCTGCCATATGGAAAGCCAGCATAGTCATTCCATCATATGTTCTCATTTTTACAATGAGGCCCCAAATCTTGATTTTCATGGGAAATCTTTAGATTTTAAAATATTGGCAAATAATTAAGCAATAAAACCACCGTATGTGAAAAATGAAATACATCTGTGAGCCAGGTTCTGTGGTTAGCAACTTCTGTCCTTGGTAATTTCATCTACACCCTTTGATTTATGCCTAAAATTTGTGGTTCCAGTTCTGCTCTTTGTGAAATCTGTACTTGAAAATATCAGCATCTCAATGTGAACAGTGATTTAAACCTACCTCAAAACTAACCTTATCATGTTCTCTATTTCAGGCAACAATTCTATCTTTCACCTGGTAGGGTAAGCTAGAACTTTGGTATTTATCCTATGAACTTATTTCTCTTCTTTAGTCCTTATATGACATCAACCACCAAATCCTATCAACTATGTCTCATAAATATACCATATTTCCCAGAAAAAAAAAACCTAACCAGAAAATAAGCTCTAGTAGGATTTTTCAGGATGCCTATAATATTAGCCCTATCCCCAAAACAAGAACTGGTTAAGACTAATCAGATGGATGCATTCAATGCAACACAGGATGGACATACTGAGTTATAAAATAATATTAATATATAAATAATATTACTTCTTAATACTTAAGCTAAATGATATTATGAATTACAATTATTTGTAAATATCCAATCAGGTGCCACTGGATAAGAGGTAAATGCCTATGTAAACAGATGAATTTGAGACTTCCTGCCAAATAACCAACCAGAGTATAAATGCAATGCACGAGTAACATGTGCACTTGACAACAAATAGATGTGGTGGTGTATAATACAAATCTTCAGAAATCAGTATATTGTGTGTATTGTAACAATGCACTCTGAGCAGGCTACAGGGACAAGAACTAATCATTTAGGGAAAGCTCTACTGTTTGACATAAGAGTTTGGAGCCAAGCCTTGGCTATGAAGTGACCTCAAGGCCAGCCTGAATGGCATAGTGAGACCTTATCTAAAAAAGACAGGAAAACAAAACAAACAAAAAAAAAAGAGTTTGGGGGCAATGGTTCTATAGGAAATTCAATCACAAGAAATGCAGGCCAGAACCTGGGGCTTGAAGACCTATGACAGGCAGTCTAGAATATGACAGTACTGTACTTGAATAAATGTAAATTTTGGTACATTAATATATATTTTTGTGCATGAACACATGAATGTAATTGTTGCACATGAATAAAGGGAAATTATAAATGAAAAAATAAGACATCCCTAAAAATAAGCCCCAGTGTGTCTTGTGGAGCAAAAGTTAATATAAGACCTAGACTTATTTTCAGGGAAATACAGCATCTGGTGTATACACATATTTCTCTGTGCTGCTGTACACTGTATACACTGTACTGCTACCATCATGATCTTAGTACCATCTTTTCTCTCCTAACTACCCATAATAACCTTAAATAGGCTCAGCTGCCTCCCACACTGTCTTGTTTCCCTCTATTTTCTAAACCATTGTCTCCCACATGATCAAAATCTTTTAGAAACATGTTTTTGCAAATACATATACGTATAGTATATAAAAATACCTATGCAAATATGTATATTTATATGTATTTGACACAACAGTTACACTTCCAGCAATTTATCTTGCAAACATACTCACATGCATGTAAAATGGTGTATCTGTAATACTGTTTATAATAAATGGAATAATCTAAATGTATATCACTAGGGAAGTAGTTAAATAATCTGTGAGATACCCATACAGTGAAATACTATACAGTCATTTTAAAATAGTAGGGAAGCTATCAAAATGGAAAAAGTCCCAAGATTAAGAGAACCATATACAGTATGCAATCATCTGTATAAACAAGAACAAAGAACACGTATTTGCTTGAATGTCCATAACAAGTATACTGATAAACAGAACTAGTATCAGTGACTACCCCTGTTGAAGGAATGGGGAAAATGGTGGCTAGTAAGCGTAGAGACTGCACAGAAAACAGTCTGATTAACGTATGGAGGAGGGCTTAGGCACCTATACTGTTCTAAGTTCCTCCACTGATTCTGATGAGCAGGTTGCACTGAGAATCACTGACAGTGGACACTCTCTGCCTACTTTTCCAGCTTCATTTTGCATCATCCTGCTCCCAACATACTCCATGCTCCAGCCACTGCGGCTTCTCCGTTCCCAGAAGAGGCTGTTCCTTTCTTTTTAAGGAGCTTCATGCGTGTTCCTTTTGTCTGGAATATTGTCTCCCTAAGCTTCACACAATAAGGCTCCCATTTATCCTTCAGAATTCACCTAAAAGGTCACTTCCCCAAGGAAATTATCCCTAATTTCCAAATAGATCAAGATCCCTGTTTTACGTATTCAAAGCAACCTTTGCCTCTCTTCCTGCATTAACTTACAATCATGTATACATACATCTGTCACTCCCTTTAGACTACACAGTGCAGGAGCACAAAACACATCACTATTTTTACTAATGTCTTCCTAGATTTAACCTAGAGACCAGTGGCAAAGTAGGACTTCAGATGTTTGCAAATGACTGTTCTTGCCCTCAAATTTAAGTAAAAAGAAATCAACATGTAAGCAAATGGAGACAATATAATGTCATTGTGAAAACAGCAGTTTACAATGATGATTATCAACTGGGAATGACTTTGTTTCCGTCTGAGGACATCTGACAATGTCTGGAGGATTTCAGAAGATCACAACTGTATAAAGTGCTCCTAGTGTCCAGTAAGTAGTGGTCGGGCATGCTGCTAAATATCCTATACTGCACAAACAGTCTTCCACAAAGAAGAATGTCCAATAGTCCCACGGTTGAGAAACTTTGATTTAGAGAATGGTAATATTCAAAAGGGTGATTAATTCTACTCCCAGTACTTGTGGGTTGTTGTTGTTTTTGTTTTGGGGTACCAGGTGCGGATGTCAAGAAAAGGCTCAGAGAGGAAGTAAAGTTTCAGTTGCACCTTGACAGGTGGCAGGACCGAGAATAGTAAGTACTATGTCAGAAACGAGTCTCTTAAAAGTGTAAAAGCAGTGTTATGGTTTGAACAAGAACTCCTTCAAATACCTTATACTCCAAAATTACCCATCTTCTTTATTCCTCTCTTACTTAAAACATCATTCTATCAAAATAGCTGGTTTCAGCTAAGGGTTAAAGTCAAATTAATGCACAGAGATAAAAGCTCTAGAACGTTAAGCTTCATTTTAAAACATGCAAATACTCATTCATTAGCTGCTTAATATTCAGGTTGATAATGGATAAAACTTTTTTTCCCTGCCAGAATAGCCCTAGTAAAGACTTCTCTAAAGCCTTTTATTAAAACAAACAAACAAATGTTTTGTTTTTCTGTCCTTGACTTCTGAACTCACCGATTATATAAAAGATCCAACTTTTTTTTCTTTTGCACAAGTATCTAGTGGTATGTAAGTTCTTCTTGCAGAAATGATAGGACAGCTGTTTATATTCAGTAACTTTAAATAAATTGCGTGTCAAATTAGGTGTCAAGTATAGTGTTTTTAAAAGGCTTTCAGTATAACTCATGAAGGCTTCTGAGAGAAACTGAGTTACTTTTCAATCATATCACCAAGAAAAAAAGCTCAGTGTTTTAATACAAGACAAGCTTAACTGCCTGCTGAGCTGAGCGCCCACGTTCTGCCCTAGTATGGCAATTCTTAGGGTCTGGCGCTGGGTGCTCTGTTTACAAGAAACTGAGGCCTGACACTAAGGAAGAACAAAGAAAAATGCCTGGCACCAAAGGTACGGAGGATGTTTTGTACTAAGTGAAGATTTGAGGAGAAATACATCCTCAGAATTTGAAAGGCAATATAAATTACTCTTTTCTGCTTACATGTTAAGAATTTATTTTGGGTTTTCAGGCCATTTCCTAATAAGAAAATACCTTATAATTTACAAACAGTAATTCGTTTCCCCTTATATTTGCTGACCATTCAGCGCGATAAAATTTCCTTGCGTTTTATCAGAGTGAGACAAATGGAAATAATGTGAGCACAGCAGACAGAGAGTTCAGGAAGCAACCTCAACTCCAGGCGCGGCCAGCTGGTTTCCATCGAGAGTCCCCAGGAGAACGCCCCTCCGAGTTGAGGCCGGGCAGGCGCGGCAGCCAGACCCCCGCCCGGGGCGCTGGAGCGCCGGGCAGCAGCGCTGTCCGCCCGGCCTCCGTTACCTTTGTCTCAGGTACCCCGCTCCCAGGCGCTCTGAGATCCCGCCCGCCGCCCCGAGCTGGTGACACATCCTTCTTTGGCCAACTCGGGCCAAGGCTGGGCAAGGGGGCGGGGAACGAAAATAAAGCCTCAGCGCCTAAAGACGTGACTCTCAGTTCTTCCAGGACGTTGGCATTTGCTTCTCTGCCAACCTTTCCTCTTAACAAGTTCCCGAGGTCTGTGCAGGGAAACTGGCCCAGGAGCCTCAAGCAGTGGGAGGTGCCGGGCGCCCGGCCTCGTCCTCGTCCTCAGCGGGCGCCGGGGGGGGGGGCGGCATTTTCCGCACCCTTGGGCCCGGGACCCGGCAGGCGTGCGGAGGCGGCTGCCTTGCCCAGAGTCCCGGCTTCCCCAGCCCGGCCAGCTCCGTGGCCCCTCAGGCCAGGCCAGTTCCCGCCCCCGGCCCGCCCCGGCCTCCGCGCACCGCCCCCGGCTTCGCCATCCCTTCGGGCCGGGGTAAAGGCGCTAGGGGGCTGCAGGCCGCACGCTGGGCGTCCCGCGCCTACCTCAGTTACTGCGGCTCCTCCTCCGGGGGCTGCCTCACTTCGAGGGCCACAAGCACTGCCAGGGCCCCCCGCGGCGCGAGGTCTCGGCGGCAAAAGCAGCGCCGGAGGAGCCGAGGTCCGAGCGAGCCCCGCCCGCTGACTTCTCGACCCCACCCTCCACGGCGGGTTTGGCGCCCCGCCCCGCCCGCGCCACAGTCCCGCCCCTCCCCGCCCAAGGCCCCGCCCCCTCTCCAGGCCCCGCCCCCGCCGGCCTAGCTGGAAGGGGTCCGCCAGGGGCTCAGCGAGAGCCGCAGGGCCGCAGTCCTAGCGCTGTCTCCCAGGGCTGGCCCGCAGGTAGGCGAGTCCTAAAGGTTCCTGCTGTTTGACGAAGGCGAGTTCATTGCTCGAATTTGTTTTTACTATTAATTGTTTTTCTGCGCTCTTCGAAGGCCCTGTGGCCCCTTTGAGGGCCGGCGGGGCGCTGCCCGGACCCTCGGGCGGCCGCACCTGCGCCTCTCTGCGACCGGCCAGAGAGGCGCTGTGCAGTTTTGAAAGAAGAAATTTTAAAAATACTCATCGTTAACGAGTACCCCAGTACGGAAAGGTATATAAAACCGTTGCCCAGCTGACTTACTCACTCATCTTGTAACCACTCTCCAAATTTCACACCAGTAAAATGGGCCTAAAACAGAATCTCACTGCTGCAGCAAGTAGAAACACCAGACTGACACCCAGAACTTGGATGCAGATTTATTTACGTCCACAGGCACTGGTCGGGATCATTCCTAAAATATCAGAACCTGATCTCTGGTGGTCTAGGGATTATATGAGATAAGCGAGAAGCACGGAGGTAAATGGATTCAACTGGGATTGCTTTATACAATGTGCATCACAGTGACCAGCAGTTTCTAAGAGACAAGCAACAGGAACTGGAACAGGAACTATTACCTGGGCAACAAAGAAGCTGAAGTATACTGTCTCGGAGGCAGGGCATTTTCTGTTACATCACTAATAAATAGGAAGGTGTAGCCAGAGAGGGCTTCCCCAAATTGCCCGCTTTGTAAGTGTCTCACAGAGTCAAGGCCTACCTGCCCACAATCCTGCCCTCTCCAATAATACATTTGTGAAAGGGAAATCAGTTTAGTAACTCCCAACACAGTGTATTTTGTAAATTTTTTAATTAAAAAGATAAATTAATAAATATATAAGCATAGAAATGTCAATCGGGAGATTGAATAGCATGAGTAAGGCGCAATTAGAGGTTAAGTGATGACAGGTACATTACAGGTGTATCCAAGGATTAGGTGGACTCTGAGGACACATGGTATGATAAAAAAAAATACGGCGAGTGCTAAAATTTTCAAAAATTTATTACATTAAAAGACACATGGCCATGAATCCCCCTCAAAATACTCTCTTTTCAAGCCCCTCTATCCTATTACTCTTGTCACTTTCCAAAGCTGTCCCGGAAGTCCTCTTTCACAAGCACGTGTGCTTTTGTGGCTGCCTCAGTGTCCTGAACAGATTCAAAACGTTTAACTTTCACTGCCATTTTGACTTTGAGGAAGAGCTAGCAGTCAGACAGTGCCAGATACTGTGAATAAGAGGATGGGAACACACTGGGATGTTTTTGAGAGCCTACTTTTCTATTGGATGACACTCAGCAGCGGCGTTCATCATGTTTTTTAAAATCATACCTCATAAACACGCTCATGAAAGAGGACTTTCAGAACTGCTTAAGAAAGCGGCAAGAAGGATGGGATAAGCCTATTTGAAGTCAGGATTTTGTGTTTTAGAGAAGGTCTTGCTACGTAGTTCAGGTTTGACTACATGAACTCACTATGTGACACAGGCTGGCTTTTAATTTCTAGTGATCCTCTTATCTCAACCTCCTGAGTGCTAAGATTACAGGTTGTATCTTTATGCTTCCAAACTGTGTTGTGGTCACATTATTTCTATCCTTCCTATTCTGGTAAAGCCCAAGGCAAAGTGAGGGTATTTTGAGGGGGATTAGGCAATGTGTCTTTTACTATAATACATTTTAAAAATTTAAACACTCACCATAAGTAAAATTATTGAAAACAAAGTCATAGGCAAGGACTTTCTGAATAAACTCCAGTGACACAAGAAATAATGTGAAGGATCAACAAACGGGATCATATCAAATTAAAAAGCTTTTGTACAGAAAAGGAAACAACCAACAGAGTGGAGAGGCAACCTATAGAAAGAGGTAATTTTTTTCCAGCTCTTCCTTGGACAAAGGACTAACATCTGGAATATGTAAAGAATTGAAAAAAATTAACCCCTCAAAATAAAAAGACCTAATAAAAATGGGCAACTGAAGTGAACAGATATTTTTCAGATAAAGTATAAGTGTCAACAAATAGATGAAAAAGTGTTCAAAATCAATGGGCTTTAGGGAAATGAAAATTAAAACACTACATTATCACCTTGCTCCAGAAAGAATGATTATTATCATGAAATCAAATAATAAGTGTTGTTGAGAAAGTGGAGAAAAAGGAACTCTTATCCTTTTTTGGTGGGAATACAAACTAGTACAACACTATGGAAATCAGTGTGGAGATTCCTAAAAAACTAAAAAAAAAAAAAAAAAAAAAAAAAAAAATTCCATTTGACCGAGCTATGCCCCTTCTAGGTATCTTCCTGAAACAGTTAAAGCCATCATATTAGAGTGATACATACATACCCATTTTATAACAGCACAATTTATAATAGCTAAACATTGGAAATGGTCTATATGCCCCTGAACAGATGAATGAATAACGAAATGTAGTATTTATTCACAGTGAAGATAAGCTACTCTGCCATAAAGATAAACCAGAGGCATTTGTAGGTAAATGGAGATCATACTGTTGACTGAAAATAAGTCAAGCACAAAAGCTTAAACATTGCATGATTTCTCTTATATGAGAAACTCAAATCTATCTGTCTGTCTGTCTATCTATCTATCTATCTATCTATCTATCTCACATCATAGGTTCCTAGCATCTGTGCTGCCTGTATGTCTCTGCCTCCAGCACCAGGAGGTGAGGTGCAAAATAGAAGACAGATAAATATAAAGTAGAAAGAGATTTTTAAATGAATGGAGAAACAAGAGGGAAAAGAGAGAAAGAGGATGGAAATAAAGACTCAAAGGAGAAAAAGTGATGAAAATAGAGCTTTTGTGAATGGGAAGGGGACCACGAATTGGAAGGAGCAGGGAGGGAGAGGAAAGTTAGGGTATGAAGAAAAAGAGAGAGAAAAAAAGAATTAAAATGTATTTCAGACATGTACCAACTCCTCACATAACTTCAACCATTATGTACTACAAATAGATAAGAATCAAAAGTACAATAGATTAAGGAGAAAATAGTTCACCATATATTTCAGTTATACTTCATAGGTTCCTAGCATCTGTACTCCAGTACCAGGTACACACTAGGTACCATATTTTTTTGTGTACATGTACCTAAACATATACACATAAATGTATGTAGATGGTACCAGTAAAGGACACTTTATATAAAATTGCCTCGAACAGGTTTTATCTGCTGGACATTTTCAAACAAAATTTAGTTCTTCCAATAGCCAACTTGATGTGATTTGTGACATGCCTTGGAAAGAAGCAAACTATTATACTTTAATTTGCACTATTTTTCCATTCTAAAAGCCCTTTCATATGTATATGATATCTTATTTGAGAGGGAAATCCTATGAGAAAGGCAAGGTAGAATAAAGAACTTTGCAAAGGTCACAATTTATACTGATAGGAAGCTGAAGTACACAGAGAACCATAAAATAATTTCAATACTACTGACCCTGCCAAGCCAGATGCTTGGTTTGTCTTGACACTTTTATTGCCTGAATTTTTACACTAGAACTCCTTTGGTTCCTCTGCCGTACATTTGTACACAATATAACCGGAATGTGCAAAGGACATAGTTGCCTCCTGAAAGTTTGATTCAATACTCTTGTCATGAGCACCCTGGTGAACTGGGGCTGGAGAGCTATCAATTCACTACCATTCATGAGCACCCATACTAATTTTGATTTCCTCTGGATAGATACCCATTAGTGAGGATCACTGGATCAATGGTAGTTTTCTTCTTTATTTTTCGAGAAACCTCACGTGGTTTTTAACTCAATATTTAAGCCAGAAATTCTTATTTCCTTCCGCCCTCTCATTTTAACTCTGTAACACTCTCCAAATTATGTTTACTTTTCATTTAAATTGTTTCTCAAATTTGTTCCTCTCTTTTCTTCTATTACTCTAACTCTCTTCTTTATGAATCACCACCAGTCACCTGACTGGTCCCTTTACCTCTCAGCTTACCCCCTCCTCCAGAAACCCCTTAAATATACTTTCCACTGAGTGTAAAGTAGTAAATTCTGTCACATTTTAGTGATTTCTCATGAGTCGCTGAATAACTCTCCTGTATTTGGAAGATCTCTACTACTTAGGGTCCTGACTCCCCAGTGGAAGCCAGGCCTCACTTTCTCAATCTCTTTCCCAACTATGAGAGGATACATATCCTAGTCTCCATATGATGTACCACACAAGACTTTAAGAAGAGCACAATGTGTGTACTTCCTTCCTTTTTAATGCTGAATAATACTCTGTTGGATAGATGTATTACAATTTATCTGTTTACCTGCTAATGGAAATGTGGGTAGCTTCTAGTTTTTAGCTATTATAAATAAGGCTGCTACCTGTTTTACCAAACATAAGAACTTACAGGAAAATAATCAGCCTTGAAAACTAGAGCTCAGAAATTCCAGCCTCAATCAGCCTATCCTTGCCTTACCTACTATAACTATTATCTAGTTTGGTAGATTTCTATTTCTGGTTAATCCTTTGAGAGTAACCACCAAACTAGATAATAATTACAGTGGGCAAGACAAGGATAGGGTAGTTGAAAGTTGGCATTTTTGATCTCTAGTTTTCAAGGCTGATTATTTTTCAGCTAGATCTTATTTTCTGAGAAAACATGGCTATGTGTGAACATCTATGCTCATTCTTTGTAGGCACATATGCTTTCATTTCTCCCACATGTATAAATTATGGTTGTCATATGATAACTCTACATTTCAAGTGCTTGATTTTGCTTGAAAGTTAAGGAGGCTGTGTGTCTGTGTGTTTCTGTGAAAACTTGGATTGAGAGAGGCTGATCTTTTATAATTTCAGTTTTT